TATAGTGCCCGGGATTCTATTTTGCCGTATCTGAGCACTCTGTGATTGTACTTAAAATGAAAAGAATTCTAATAAGCTGTCAGAGGAGCCTTAGAGACATTTATTTCTATCATATAGAAATGTACTATGCGCATATATACATATACTTATACATGTGTTTATTTTTTACGTATAAATATATACTTCAATCATGAATTTATACTTCGCATGTAAATGTATACTATGGACATAATATATAATTCACCTTGCACAGTTTTCTTCGAAAATATTTTGATACTAACTCAGATAGTACAGCCTCTTTCTATAGCTGATTACATAACTAGCTTGTTGTCCTTTTCACGAAGTAGTGTCTAGTATATAAAGCTTCTGTCTGTTGACGTTCCTCAATAATACGTTCCCATTATTCTCCCTCGTTTTTTCAAATAAATTTACTTACTGACTGTACTACGACAAAGAAAAATTCGCATTAAGGTGAATATTTCTTTAAACAACGGCCACTGCAAACTGGGAGATTAGGCAATTTTGAAGCTATATTCGACTTTTTTCAAGATGAGTGACTTCAGCACTTCAAGTTTAACTGACGTCAGTGTCACGAACTTTACACCTCTACATGCTTCCTCGAAACAGACTTAATCAATCAAAGAACTGTGAACCATTGAACATGCAGCGATCAAGCACAGCAAAGTACACGTTCTGTTGACTAGAAAAAACGGTTCTAACGGGAAAAAGAGAAAAAAAAAAGAAAACGAGTTTTCTGCGGCAAACACTCATTATGAATAGAGCTTTGATGAGAGCTTGAAAAAGCGCTGATAGGTGTCAGAGCAAGCGATTGTGTGATGGTGTGAAATGTGTACGACGAAATGGTGATCTTCTGCATCCGACAGCCATAATCCATCATAAACTTCTGCCCAATGGATTTTGCATACTGTCATATCATATAGTTCGAATGTTAGATTATTCAGCCGGAAGGTTTCATTCAGATTTTGATAATCTTATCCACTTTCTGAAATAATGAAAGCGTGTGCGTGTAGATCTTCTTATGTGTACGTGCATGTGTGTATGCATGTGCGCGCGTGTACGTGTGTGTTGTAGATGGTGAGGCAACAAAACTCGTAAATAGCAAAAGTAAATAGCTATTCTCAACTTTATTTGCATTTTACAAACTTCCAGTATATCTTTCATTGAAATTCTCGATGTTGTATAATTATCAAGTCAAACGAACGAAAGTAGATTTTTTACGATCCTGACAGAAGAATGCAATCGCTGCTTTAATTGTGTTCTTCTTTACCCACGATTGTATTTATGAGATTCATTGTTGATAATTAGACCCTTACATATTTTTTTTGCATTGCGTGAGCTGAGTGAATGAGCTGTAAAATCTAACCAGGAGATATTCGTCCGCTCAAAAAATGTTAGCTAAAAGTTTTCAAATTTCCTGTTTTCGGAATATTTTATAGACAAAAATACTCAAAGAATTCAAAGCTGAACTTGGAAGAACATGTCTTGCTATTTCCTTCCAAATCTTATACCCTTTGTCAAAGCTCGTATCGGAGTGTTTCTCGTCTTCTGAAAATGCGCATTCACATCAAATACCTCGAACAACCTCAGAATCGTTCAATGTGTTACCATTGTGTTTCTTGTGGTCTTGCTCACAACTGTATCTCTCAATGATTGTATGAACAGCTTCGAACGTTCGGAGCACGAGTTTAATTTTCTCTTAATCAAGACTAGAGTTCCGTGATGAATGTATAATTGAGTAAGAAGAGTGGAAAAGTACTAAATTGTCGGAAACACGTCATACAGTCATGCTATCAACTATCAAAGAGCAATAGACCTCTGTCGAATTTGCGTGTTGAAGTTTTCTCGTAGGTTATGCTTGCATGAGAGACATCATAAACATCACAGTCCTTCATTCACGTATTCTAATTTAGTAATACTCTCCGGTTTGAGCATCCTATTCCAACTCTTTGATTTTTGTAAAGTTTCGAAAATTATTAGACAGCTTAAATCTTGGAAATCCGAATGGTGAGCTTGATTTTTGAAAAGGACTTTCTCAATACGCTGTAGCAGTAAGAATAAAATGTTTCGAAAACTCAAGAATTTTTCGCTAGATAGAGATTCTCTTCACGTTTTCAATAATTCCTGATTTTCTTCTTTAGCCAAGCACGAGGCGTTACATTGATCTTTATTTGGCAGCTGACGTTTCGGCAGTTCTTATTCTTCAGAGCCTGGAAAGGTCAAATTGTCCGAAATCCAGTCAGTCAAACACCTCCATTACTCCTTTAGAAAAATCACCAGACCTAGATATCAGTCGCTTTTTCGCACTAATGTTTTTGTTTCTGCGCAAGAATGGTGACTTCGATCTCAAAATCAAATTCGTTCTGTTTCTGTTCTTTATCAGAGACAGCCGTATAGACGGTTGCGAAGTAATTGGCGTCTTAGAGTATTCGGTGGTATTTCAATAATAACCACCGATTGCTCTAAACCTGCTCTTTTCAAACAACGTTTTGTAGCTGTATCAATCTCATTTGAAGAGAGCGGAAGGATAGACGGGATTGTCCTTTTATTAGAGTTTTCGTCCGGAGGGATAATGTTTCCTCCAAACCTAAGCCGAGGGTTTACAAATTCGTATCCATTAGAAGTGGCTATTTCCCGAGCCAGTTTGACGGATTTTATTCTCTGCTCCTCCTCGGTACATGAATTGGCTGTTGTTCAAAACATGTTTTTTACTAATGCCTTTTTCGTATGTGAGGCATGAGAAGAGAGACAGTGAGCCAGGATCTTCTTATTAATTGGCGTTCGGTACCACTTTGTCATGTATGTTTCCAATAATTATTGATGATCTCCACAATGTCAATGGCTCGCTTGATTCGAAAAGGACTTTTCAATGGCCTGTAGTATTCAAACGGATATTTGGTTTGTTTCGCTTTCAACTCACACACTTTGCTCCGGTATTTAAATGGAATTTCGCAACAATAGCACCGTAAGTCTAGATGGCTTTCAAGCCAGGTGCGCAGAATTCCTTACATCGCTCTGTGGGCTTAAACCTTTCAGTTTCATTTTATACTGCTAAATACGCACGCTGTTTAGGCTGATCCTAAATAGCATAGCCTATAGACGAAAAGCCTATGAACGTGTAGAGGGATTCTTAGAGTGCCAGAATCATCTGTTTCATCTACGCTTTGGTCAAAGCGAAGAAAAAATCTGAGTTTGATACCAAAATCTCACAACACATTACTTCCCCTCGCACACCCTATCCGGCAAGAATTGCGCTCCGAGTGCGAACCCCAATCTTTCTTGGTCGCTACAACGCGCTAAAAGTTTTTTCTGAACACTAAGAGAACTATTTCCAAGACCGACTGTCTATTAACCTCGGCATGCTTCAATATATCCTAATTTTCTTTTTTAAGCCAAACACGAGGTGTTATATGATTTTTTACTCATTCAACAGCTGAAGTTTCGGCAGTTCGCCTTCTTGAATCAGCTGCTGAATGTTAGAGAAATTTAATAACACCTGGTGTTTGGCTCAAAAAAGAAAATTGGGATATACTAAATTACTATGAACTTTGACAAAATTTGTACTATCGAATCATCGCTCGAAGTCTAAAGGGAAAAATCTGACTAGCGATAAATGCCCGAGTGTGTAACATAACTTATATTTTGTGCTGCTTTGGCACTTTATTGGTCCGCTTGCACAGTGTTTTTTCTTCAGTATACGGATCCCAGTACTCCTAGCATTCAATTCTCTTTTCCGCTTCCTTCTTGAGCGTCGTAGAATACTCGGTGAGTACGTCTCCTTGCAATTTCAAGGATAGCCTGGCTGTGGCTCTCCATAGGGCGTCCGTTGCTGACTACCGGAGAGTGCGAGGGGTGCGGTATAGCTCGCATGCGCCGCGACGAGCATCACAACCACTCGACCATGGCGCTCACTATTTTTTTGCTACAACGCACTATAAAGTGCTTCTCAGAAGCCGACTGCGCCCTTAAAGTTCTCGATATTTATGCTATTGAAGAACCAATAAAACTTTTAAGAAAAAAGTGAAAAACACTATTTTTCCATGAAGTTAAATCAGGATGTACTATTTTCCATTTTTGTGACCGTAAGTTTGCTGCGGATAACTCACTAGGCACTTCTCCGGTGGAGTTTGACTCATTGCTGAGACGATGCCTGCAAGAAGAATCTGATATTACGGAGTTAAGGCTCTAATATATCACTGTAGTAGCTGATGGCCACAAAGAGGATTAGGGCTCAATGCTTGCAAACTCGTTACCTTGAGAAATTGGACGCACTAAGAGATTGTGTCGATATCATTTGATGAGCGGCACGAGACGTTTTCGCATCCATTTTTTAGACCATTGAATTATATTTACAGAAACGACATTCTCTTATTTCACTCTCGTAATCAGCAACGCCCTTCAATTCAGTGCAATTTTTATTCACGAAGAGTTGGCACGTTTTCCAAATGTCAACTATCTCGACCACGTTGCATATCCACTCAGAAAACATTGCCGCTTCCATAATCATGGCTGTGGTGAGTCTTAGGCTGCTCTTTTTGCAAGTTTTGAGTGTGCATACCTTTCAGAAGTTTACTTTGAACAACTACGACTTTATTCTATTTCTTATTTTATTTAATCTGAGTCCAAATTTAATACTACCCCTCGAGATTTCTAGTGTTTTTACTGTCTTTTTCGTAGTGCTATGATGTTTCAAATATACCTATGATGATACGCGTGCTACCGCTACATTATGAGGTACATTTGCCCCACCTGTTAGAGGCTCGTGGCTGGCAGCAATCATAGAGATATTGAAGAATGAGTGGTGGGCATCACAACACAGCGAAAAAGGCAGTAAAAACGCTGGAAATCGCGAGTATTACTTGTTGCAGTGGCTGTCAGCTCAACTGGGTCTATAAAGCGAAGTCGCATATCCGAGCAAACCTGTTAAAGGTTCGTGTCTGACAGCATTCATAGAAATATTGAAGGAGTGGTGGCGCAAATGTACCTTGGTGGTGTAGTGGTAGCACACGTCCCCGGTATGGATGAAACGCAGGTTCGACTCCCCTCTGAGGTCGCATTTTTGCTCACCACTCAATTCTCTCAAGTTAATATTACTTCATAAAAAAAGATTACATGGTTTCCCATTGTTCAAGAAAGTAAGCGCTAGGTCTCGAGTTACGATGTGCAGGGCCTAGTTGTCTATTCACGGTTCTATTAATCATTAAGTTCTACAACTTGCCTTTTCCTAAGAGAACAGGAAAAATGCGACTTTCAGGTAGGAGTGTTCGGCCTAGTCTCAAATGGCACTGCTATTCTGACAATGCGATACAATCCGGCGTTACGAAATGCGTTCGGTCTGCTGTGCCTCTTGCATTGTATCACCAACATGGGTATTCTGCTTGTCTTCGTGATGTGGACGACACCGGTGACATTACTGTGAGAATTGTGTGCTTGTAGTGGCTGAAAATTTAGCATAATCAGATATAATGTGCATCAGTCCCTTTAGAAGTCGTTTTCTGTAGGGCCTGCAATAACTAAATTAGTTTCTTTTTGACTGAACGTTGAAGTAAAAGTACTGAACCCTTTTGTAGTAGATAAAGCTGATGGAGAAGCAAGCAATAGTTCAACTCTGTGGTGTGCTCTTGTCATGATGACGAAACAAACCGTAAACGAAGAAGTTTTTTGATGACAGATTGAAACTATATTTTAAGCATAAAATGAGGCTTAATTTTTTGTTTTTGCCGTCTTTTTAGCAATATTATGACTGGTTTTTATGCTAATATGTGTTTATCCGCCTTGTATGCTACTCAACATTTTACAATAGACGGAAATGCTATTAGAGGGTCTAACATAAACGCAGATGTCACGCACATTTGAAGTAATCAAACAGAAAAGGGAACATTATCGTTTGCAGTGAAAGCGAGATAGCCAAGAAGCCACTAGGTAAGCTGGTTGGTTTGGTGGACATCATGTTCTGGAATGTGTCCGTCTACTCTCAAATGGCCATCGCCTTGAACAGAGTCATCGCCATAACACTGCCTCTGCGAGCTCCCTTTGTTTTAACTGTAAGAAACACCTCTTTCGTAGTTTTGACTTGCTGGATGCTCGGCTTGTTCCATGTGATACCGTACTTCTGGAGTGAGTTTTGCCATTTTTTTCGTTTAGTTTCAAAAATAAGCCACGTGGTCTGGTTCTATGATGCAAAAGTGGTATGATACACAAGTGGTCTAACCTGGTAGTATTTGCTCTTGTTGTCATATTGAGCCCAAACCAATAGAGTGGAAGATCCCTCGTTTAAAAACACCATTCTATGGCGGGATTGTACAGGACTTATGTTTTTCTATAATCATCTTCCACCTTGATGTGCTTTGCATCATCGAAGCATCCTATAGCAGTTGATCAGATTCGGGTGCCACATTGCGCAGCACGTGCCAGGTATTATACGGCCGAGTGCTTCAAGATACATGGGCCCCGATAAGCATATCATATGCAGTATAGCGACTAAGCCAAAATCCGTTTTGTTCAAAAAGACACCTCCTAAAGAGATTCCTAACTCAACTGAGGGCCTAACACACAGATTCGACTCAATACGTCAACAAGAGTCCACAATGCAAAGACGACTATCTGTGGACCATTCACTCAAATGGTATCGATTTCTAGAAAACGAAAGCATAACTTGACAATGTGTTTCGAGCCTTTCATATGATCTGTCATGGGCACCTACACACTGCTAGACTCTTGTTTTGGCGTTATAGCCTCGTCTCTTGAACGGTACTTTTTGGTCACTTAGTTCCTCGGGATCTACCCCTACACAGAAAGATCGGCGATAAACTTTTTACATTCAACCTACGTTGAAACGTACCGTGTGTTCTTTCAGAATGATTGATTGTCGATCGCGTAGTATATGGCTGTTACGTAGGCATATGGGGCAAACATTGCAACTAACTATTTTGAGACCTTGCGCAAGAACATTATAGCCTAATAAAAAAGCAAAAAGAGAAACTTTGGGAGAGTATTTTTTTTCATGGCTGCATCTTGTCGGCCTAAACATGAGATAAATTTTGCAGCTATTCACCCTTGCCGTATTAGAAAAATGGGACTCATAGTCATAACAATTAAAATAGCATGGAGGCGTATTGGTTATTATGAGTTTTTTTTTTATCAAAAACAGCCTATGAATAAAGCGTTTGCAGTTAATCACTCCATCAAGGAAACCTTTTAAATTGGATTCCAACGAAGCGCAGAGTGTACGGATTCGCATTCTGTCTAGTTTTGTTTGTTGTCACTGCAGTGAAGGATAATCTTGTCACTTCGCACAAAGTGTAACTAATTCGGCGTCGATTTTCTTGCATGTATGGATTACGTTTCCCTCACAGGGGATTGGCCGAACCAAAGATAACCGTCCTAAATGACCAGAAAGCCAAAACCTACGTCTAGTGCTACAAATATCATAACAAACCTCATGAAAGCTCAAAATATACTGCCAGAAATTGACAGTATTTTAATGCATATCGCATTGTTATGATGTTTTCTATATACCTAAGAAAATGGAGAGGTGAGCAAAAACGCGGCCTCGGCCGGGAATCGAACCCGCGTTTCACGTCTCACGTTTTGCTAACCACTCAATTCTCTTAGGTACACTGCCAGAATGTATTAAATTTCAGGAGACGTTATAAAAACACATGAAATCAAAGACTTTCTTATGATTTTGCGAAATATTCATTCATAATACGTGTCGGTCTTTTCCAGCAAGAAGCTGTTACATCCTTTTTGATACGACAAGGTGGACGTGGGCGTTTTCTCAAACATCATGTGGACATGTTCTTTCCATTATCGACTTTTACAGCGTTCTAATCGTTCTCATCTTGATCTCCCTTCTCGATCTCACCACGCTGATTTGCTTGAGAGCTAAACATACGGTTAGCGGTAGATCAATCGGTCATAGTAATTGTTAAACTCTGCTTGATAGTCATGTTCTCTAGCATCACACACTACACTCTATGATCTATGTAAATGTGGCTCTAAGATGCATAATATATAAAAATTTTATGCGACAAATGTTCATGCTTTTGTGTTTTAAGGGTAATAAGTCACATAATCCGAGAGGTATACGCCAAGTTGTCACCCAACAAAGGAGACGCAAAATGGAAATCCGCTTCTTCAAACAAGTAAGGCACTCACCTAGCTATAAATTAGTTCAGAGAATTCAAGAAATCTCATCAAAACTTATCTCCCATAGCGATTATTTCCATCCAGATCGAAGTTGTTGCAGGCTCTATGTGAGAACGCTTTATTCACTTGCCAGCACCTTAGCTTTCACTGTGTTCGCCCACTATTCGTGAATCGTTGGCTTGTATTCTTCACTGGTGCATTGCCGTGGGAGCTGAGCAATGCATTAGATGGGTAAGTGTTGAATTAGCATTATCTTCAGCGAAATGTGTGGTTAAGTATGATCTTTGTTTGTAAGAAAAAGGAATTCAGAATAATCAGATAAAAAAGCGTGAAGCAAGCGCAGAAACTATTACGCCGTTCCATAAGTTTGCACTAGAGTAGTAAACGCCAAATTTATCAAACAGAAGTAAAGTATGTGATATATAAAAAATTTTATGCGATTTCGGAATGCATTATCTCAGTATCGCTCAATTGTCCATTTTCTTGTGAACATTTTGGTATTCAATTTGCCTATGCTTGATTTAAGATGGAGCTGTTGTGGGAACAAATTCGTTGCTACTTATGCACGAAGGGCTTCTCGGGAAAATGCTAATAACGCGGCGCGCAAAATTAATGATGCTTTGTGTGAACGACGCAAAAACGACTCATCCTCCAGGCTGCTCTTTTTAGCTTTGAACATCGCGGACCTCTTTCTGCAACCGTATCATCGCCTCAAGCTACTCTACTCTTGCGCACCGCATCACTAATGATTCCCCCTACGCGCCATTCGTGCATGAAGTAGGAAGAGAATTTAGTCTCACTACAGCTCCATCTCAGCGCTTCTCCGTTCATTTCACCTTTTATGTGGAAACTTTCTGCCCAATGAATCCGTATTGAATTTTTCCATCTGTTTTTGACGCGGCATTTGGGATTTCACTTTTTGAAGTTTCGTTGAATTGTTGATCACCCATAAGGGGTGAAACCATAAGGGGTTTGTCATGCATTCAACTTCATTAAGCATCATCAGAGGTGACTGAATATTTCAGAAAGCTCACCACCTTTGCCAACTTCTGGGGTTTGGAGGAATAGGTTGTTTATGATGCGGGATCGAACCAACCAGTCATGTACTTCACATTTATTTCAAGTGCTTTATTAAGACCACGCTCAAATTTCAATAGATCCTTTCATTATTATTTGATAAAAATACATATAATATAACATAACATAATATGATAAAAATACCAGCCAAAAAGCAATCAAGTGCGCAAACGCTTTGTGTTAGGTGAAAGTTTCGCTTGAAATAGAGTGTAAAACGTTCGTCTTCGATGACTCTCTGTAAGGGCGCAGAGCTCCCGAGAGAACTAGCTATAAAAATATCGAAAGACGACGAGTTCTGCCCGAATGACGAGTCTGTGAGGACGAAGCACGTGTATCGGGCTGTACAAGAGCCCTTACCAGACCACATGACAAGTTGGCTCAAATAATAATAAAAAGAGTCATGTATTTATTGCAGGGCACCTCAAAGCAATAAGTTGCACACGATTTTGATTTAAAACTATTATGCAGTCAACATATTCACAACATAACAATTTGTGATGTGATGGATTTGATTTGCTTAAAAAGTACCGCCTTAACCGGTTTTTTCATTCGCCAATGAACATAAGTGTCTGCGTCAGAGAGTTTTTATTTTGGAAATGAAGAAAACAAAGAGAAGACCTTATTTTCTCTTTGCAGAATCTTTATTCATATTTAATACCATTTTGGTGAGAAGTAGTGAACAGGTGAAAAGTCTGATGATCTATGGAAACATATTTTGCAGCTTCGTCATTGTTCTTTTCAACTTCCGTTTCTCTCATCTCGGCAGGAAAATGTTACCTACATGTCACGCAATGGTGAGTGGATTTACCGTCCTGATCTGCATCA